AAGCTAAACAGAGAGAGAGAGAGAGAGAGAGAGAGAGAGAGAGAGAGAGAGAGAGAGATGGACACGTGCGGTCGTGCAACATGGCGAGCACGTGTTTCGCGACGGGCAGCGAATGTGGTAGCAATTGTTATTTATTCCGATCCGAAATGCTGCTAAGAACTATCGAACGAACCGTTTACACTTATATACATAGGTACGTATGCGTGTACAGGGTTCTTCGTTTCAACGGTGTCACGCATCGAGAACGACGGTTCCCGCCATTCCGTTTGTTCCCCTCGTTCGCCGATAGCAGTTGCCGATAGTTTCTTCGTTAAAATCGTTATGCAATTGCCGAGATAATAATCTGCGATCGTGACGCGCGTAACTGTTGTATCATGAACGCGCAACATTCTGTACCATTCGTAACTTTGTGCAAAAGTTAATGGAAAGAGAGAATCCGATTCTTTGCGAATTACATTATTTTTTTAAGGAACCGAGAAATTGCGGAAAGCTGTATTCTCGATTATAGACAACGATGTAAAGAAAGGCTCTGCAACGATGATTCTCAAAAGAGAGACGACGATCGAACAAAGAATTCGAAATGGTTCGCTTCGATCGGTACAGCAGGCTTTGCACCGAGCGATTGGAATTAATGGTTTTATGTAGCTATATATGCGCCTCGGACGTTTCTTTACTCGTTCGAGTACACCGAGTGCAGCTTCGTCGATTGAAAAGAAAACAATGTCGTCGAATTTCCATCGAGTGGCAAATCAGCCAACGGCTGACGTAATTTTCGGCGTATTAATTGCAACGAACACGTCGAAGAGAACACGAATGTTTTTCCTGGAGAAACTCCTGTCACACAGATTTTCGTAATTTATTTATTTCATTGTCGCAACAATTCGATCCGCAGAAATCCCACCGATCTATTCCTATAGATTTGTTACTTATGATTTGGACTTCGGAAAAGCTTCACGATGAAATTAGTAGCAATAAAGTTCCACCTAACCTTCTCTACCGCGGATCGACATCTACGTGTACGAATGTACATAAACGGCGAAGCCTATTAATAACTACGCGTCAAAAACATTATTATTTTGAACCCGATTAGAACAAAGCAAGTTGACAGCGGTCGCGAAATATAAACCAATAAACGATCGAAGAAACAAGTTCGACGTTGTCGTGTTGTCAAACGAAATCTGAAAGGCTCGATTCGATTGGCAAGCTTCGAGAAATACTAAAAAGAAAGAAGGCGGCAGTTGAATGATATTCGAATTGGTCTACTCTCCGTCGTAATAACGCGTTTTCAATTGTTGTTCTTACGAACGATGCTGTAGGTAATTCGTGGTAAACATAGCTGGCGTTAACGGCGTTAACGAGTTTACGTTAACCATTCATCTCCGAAATACGTTTCTAGATGTTTTGCTATTGTTCGAAAGCGCAGGTAGCTCCAAATGGTAACGAATGGTAAGTCTTGTCGGAAAAGATCTATCCAACGGTGACTACAAACAGCGAATTCGCGGCTTGCCGCGAAGGATCCTGTTTTCTTAAACAATTCGTTTCTGTTACAATGCGACGAACGTGACGGACTGTCAGCCGTTTCTAAGGAAGCATATATACGAAAATAGAAATCATCGCGATACCGGATCCTGTTAATAAGAACGGAAAGCCATCTCCTCTATGTTCGCGAGTGCAGTGAAAGAGAAACGTCATATGGATAGACGTCGTGACATTATACGCACGAATACGTGGACGGGTAAATAAGAACGAGGAACAAAACACTCGTACACGCGCGCGCCGCGCACACTATCTATTTCATGGAGTTTCGTCGTCGGACGTCGTGGACGGGGACCGCGATCGGGGGACGGGGATGGGGATGGGGATGGGGATGGGGATGGGGACGGACACGGACACGGACACGGACACGGGCACGCAGAGAGATAAACGCGGAGAACGCGAAATCTCGTCGGGACCCGTTACGTTACGTCACAGCGGTAGGTACAAAAACAGATAGGCAAAAAGAGAAAAGAATCGAGTCACACAGAGATCGTAATATCTATGCACGAGCCGAGAGTAAGCGAAATCGAGCGTACCTTGGTATAGTGATGCACTTGGTGTTGCAACTCTGCGTGGTGATCGCTTTTTCGAGCTCCTCGAGGCCAGTCGACTTCTTTAACTTTTTCACCAGGCTTTTCACAGCTTTTTCACTCCATTTGTCCTCGCCCTCGGACTTTTTCCAACCCAGCAATCGTTTAACGATAGGCGGGTTAAAGCTGGACAGCATCGAAGTCATGATTTGCGTTACGAGACCTGCACGCGACCCGCATCGGGCTGTTTCTACTTGCCACCACACTCACGAATTTCCACTCGCGATTTTTTCAAAGCGACCCGGCCAGGGTCACTGGACGATCTATTTGTACCGTCAACCGCTCGATCTCGGGCAACGCGAATCCCTCATACGGGCGGCGAAAACTTTGCCACGGCCGCCATATTGTTCGTTAAGCAGACTCGGCGAAATTCGGCCACCCTCGGTCGTTTTCGAATCCACGGACATGAACATGGAACACGGGCACGGTGTTGTAGGAAGGAAACGAAAGGAAACCGAAGGAGAAACCGTGGACGTGGGGACGTGGACATTCGAACTTGGCTCGAACTTTGCCGTTTCTCCAAGTTGCGAAGGTGCGCGTGCGCCTGTAAATTGGTCCGTTACGAACATACCGTCGGATTCACTGCGCACGCGTACTCCTATTTTCACGACATTTTATCGCTTCTTTACAAAGTCTTCTTCGTTTCATTTACGTTTCTTTATTACTTATTAGATATAATATTCGTTCGTTATAGATCTAACCTTACGATTAAGAAGATAAATGACAGAGAAATGTACAAATTAGAAATTAAGGGCGACATCTTCGGGGAACATTTGTAGCCTATCAACGTGTACTTCATAGAATAGTACAAGTAACTAGAAAGCGAAGCTGATGTTTGTTTTCCAAATTTTCTGCAAATTTGATCAGTTTCTCTTCCTACTCGCTGCACGCGAGTAACGATGCGCGTCCCTCTGTGATATACATTTACAGGACGTCGGTTTCTGTGTTATTGTTCGGTTCGGCCATTCAACGTTACAAGTGTAATTGTGTTCCGCAGTTTTTTTCAGACAATTTGCCGGCTATACGTTCCCGATCGTAAAACCTACTATACGAGTTCTATTCAATTAATAAATATGTATACCGATCGGCTGAGTTTCTAAACGCCTAACCTGACAAAACTTTAGGCCAGAACTAAAATGGCCAATCACGCGCGTCCCTCGTGAATTTTTTTCCCATTTCTCGTGTTATTTCAGTGCAAATATATTTCCTTGAGTATGTTCGTCGAGCCCAAGCTGTCGTTTAAAATAGGAAATTACTTAAAAATTTAGCGGGCCTTTCGGAAAGAATTATTAGCTTTGTTGATTTAGGGAAAAAATTGATTAATAATACATAGTGACAAGGTGTATATTTGTATATAAATACAATGGATCGCGAAGGTAAGTCGCCCTTCTTTCAAGCCAAATAACGAAAATCATCATCGGTATCAGTTTCATAACAATACGTATGGGCTGAAATATCTATGTATATAAATGTATAAAGTATCCGATTCTCTTAGCATTAATTTTTTTGACATTCGTAAGATACACGCGAGTGAAAAATTTTCCAATACTGTTGCATAATTCTAACACGGTATTATTTAATTTTCAGAAGATAGAAGCGAATCGGAGGAAGAGCATGAAAAGTCCAGAAGTCGTTCTATAGACTCTCGACGATCCAGCAGAAGTAGATCTAAGTCAAACTCTAGCAGCCATTCTCCCAGGTAACTTAAATAATACTGTGGAACCTTGGTAACTAGAACCTCCAAGGAGGAGTTGGAATCTTCGAGTTGTAGGAATTTGGTCTTTTGGTACTCGAGTAAAAGAGATTCGAGTTACCAAGACACGAATGATCTTACCTCTAACGTGATCTTAATTCATTCTTTTCTCTAGATCGAATCAATCGTCGCCTGTACAGCCACGGTCACCAGCTTCGGCGCATTCCAATGCCAATTCAAGAAAGTCATACTCGAGATCACCCTCGCGGTCGCCTTCGCGGAATCGATCGGTTTCGCCTGGATTCCCTAAAAATCAGAGATCTTCCAGATCTAGCTCAAAATCTGCCGGTAGAAGAAGCACTTCGAAATCGCCCTCGAAGTCGCCATCTCCGGAGCAAGATGAGAAGATCGTACAAAGTGGATCGCAATCGCCACGTTCAGCTAAATCGAGATCGAGATCGAGATCGAGATCGAGATCGAGATCGAGGAGTTCATCGGTGGCGGAATCTAGGAAAAGTTCAAACTCAGTTTCTCGGCAAAATTCTCGATCCAGATCCAGGTCTAGATCGAGATCCAAGTCGAGATCCAAGTCAAGGTCCAAGTCGAGATCCAAGTCGAGATCCAAGTCAAGGTCCAAGTCGAGATCCAAGTCAAGATCCAAGTCGAGATCCAAATCAAGATCCAAGTCGAGATCCAAGTCGAGATCCAAGTCGAGATCCAAGTCGAGATCCAAGTCGAGATCCAAGTCAAGATCCAGGTCGAGATCTAAGTCGAGATCCAGGTCGAGATCTGGATCGATTTCAGCCAAACGAAGTAACCCACCGTCTAGATCTCCTTCCCGATCTATTCGTTCCAAATCGCGTTCTCGATCCCATTCCCGTTCAGCTTCTGGTTCGCCGAAGCAAACTGCTAGATCTCGATCTCGATCTAGATCACGAGCATCTTCTGCAGCTAGATCACGCTCCCGTTCGGAGAGCCCTCACCGAAAATCGCACAGCAGGTCCCGATCTGCATCTGTCGAAAAGAAAGGCTCGCGATCACCATCCCGATCTCAATCTCCGTCTCCTTCTCGCGTTAAAGCTTCTCAATCTCGTTCACGATCTCCATCTCCATCGGTAGAGAACTCGGCCAAAGGACCTAGTTCTCCAAAAAGTCCCCATTCAAAATCTCCCGCCTCGGTGGATGGAACACGTAAATCAAGATCCAGATCCGGCTCAAGCTGCAGGAAACCGGCTATAGCATCACAAGCAGGATCTATGTCTAGATCACCTTCGCCGAAAGTTCAGTCGAAATCGAGGACACCATCGGGATCAAGGCAAGGATCAAGATCGCGGTCTCGATCACGGTCTAGATCTGGCTCTAAGAAGTCAGTCTCAAGATCCAAGTCAAGATCCAAATCAAGATCCAAGTCAAGATCCAAATCAAGATCTGTGTCACGATCGCGCAAAGGATCACAGTCTCCTGCTTCGAGGAAGAGTTCCCGTTCACGATCGAGATCCAGCTCGAGATCATCGAAGTCTAGATCTAGATCTCGTTCTAGTTCAAAGGCGTCGCAGTCCAGATCGCGTTCAGGATCGCGATCGAAGTCGAGGTCAAGATCAAAGTCTAAATCGAGGTCTCGTTCGAAATCGAGATCGCGTTCGAAATCGAAATCGAAATCGAAATCCCGTTCGAGATCGCGTTCTGGTTCGCGATCGAAGTCACGATCGAGGTCCAAGTCACGATCGCGATCGAGGTCGCGTTCGAGATCGAAATCGGGATCGGCAGCTGGGTCTAGACACTCGTCTCGATCGAGATCAAGATCTCGTTCGTTGTCAAAGTCCAGAAGATCGAGAAGCCGCAGCGAGGATTCTCAGGGTGCTGTTAAAAAGAGGAAGAGAGTCCTTTCTGATTCTGAAGAAGAGGATAGTGAAGTTAAGGCAACCAAGAAATCGAAGCACGGTTTGTCTGACTCTGAAAACGAAGGTAACGATGAGACAGCTGAGAAGAAGAAGGGCGATGTTGAGCAGGAAGAGGAAGGAGAGGTCGCTGAGAGCAAACAGCTTGATGGTAGCACAGCCATTGTGGAGCCAGAAAATGAGGATTCGGATGATGGTGTTATCGCGGATAGTGGGATGTAAGTTGTTGAAATACTTTCAAAGTTATTACATTAAAAGTCTGTGTTGTAATCTATATCGTCTTTGATATACGCTTATCAGGAGTAGCAGATATCTGTAAGTAATAGTGCAAAGGATATTGAAGCAACCACGGACGATGGAACTATACGCGTCAAAATTAATGAGAAACGACAATATATGTTTCATTTTTCAGGGATGATGCTTTGTCTGATTTCGACCGCATGTTGGCTCGTAAAAAAGAAGAACAATCACGAAGGCGCAAGAGAAAAGACATTGATATAATCAATGATAATGATGATATTATAGCGCAACTATTGTCCGATATGAGGAACGCATCGGAAGAGGATAGGAAATTGAATCAACAAAATAAACCCGCTACTAATAAAATAGCGATGCTACCGAAAGTATTATCGCAGCTTAAGAAACACGACCTACAGTTGGCGTTTCTAGAACATAATGTATTAACAGTGTTGACCGATTGGTTAGCACCGATGCCGGACCGATCTTTGCCTTCTTTAAAAATTCGAGACAGTCTTTTAAAACTTTTGTGGGAGGTAGGTTTAAAAGTTTGTCGCTTGTATAACTTTTTCTGTATAACTTTGTGTGTGTATAACTTGTGTATCTACACGAATCGATGTTTCAGTTTCCTCGAATTGATCAGTCTTCTTTGAAACAATCTGGTATTGGCAAAGCTGTGATGTATTTATATAAACATCCGAAAGAAACGAAAGAGAACAAAGAACGTGCCGGTAAATTAATTAACGAATGGGCACGCCCTATATTTAATCTGTCGGCTGATTTCAAAGCATTATCGAAAGAAGAAAGAATGCAGAGAGATTTAGAACAAACGCCACAGAAAAGAAGGAAAACCGAAGACGGTGGTTCTTCTCAAAAATCACAAGATATAAATAAGGCACTGAAAGGAGACGCTAAGTATGATGAATCGTGTAGATCTTTACAGTATCGGATCAATCTAAATTACTTGTATATTAATAAAGTTTGTTGCCTTTAGACCTCTAAGACCCGGTGATCCTGGTTGGGTTGGAAGAGCCAGAGTTCCTAGACCTTCGAACAAAGATTACGTTGTAAGGCCTGACTGGAAATCGGATGTCGATATTAGCAGGGTAACTATACTTGTTTAAGTCACTGTTCACTTGCAATCCGTAACAAAACAAATGAAGCTCGATATAATTCATAATTATTGTAATATTTAACAGAGCTCCAAGAAACAAATGAACAGATTCGAGAGGCATATGAAAAACTATATAGATAATAAAAGGATGAAAGGATCGAGAAGAGCTGTGGACATTTCCATTGAAGGACGCAAAATGTCCTTGTAATAGAACACATGCCCATTTATGTATGATGGATAATATGTATAATTTACAACATCGGTATAATTGCATACAGAAACCACACTGTCTGATTAAGTTATAAAAATGAATGCAATTGTAACTGTAACTACGCTCAATAAAACTTGAACAACAATTCTAGCAAATACTTTGAATATTTTTCTATACTAAATCCTTTTTATCATTCTTCCAAATTTTCATTTCATATCAATTTTGGTTACTTTTTTTAGATATACATCATATGCATGTACATATATATTTTATACACATGTATGTATACTTATATTCACATATATATATATATATATATGTATACATGCACATGTATTGTACGCATTCAAAAATTGAATGGCTATATTTCCGATTCCAACCGACTACAACATATGTAGCACGAACGAAGTGCCCTCTTTTTCCGGTTTATCGCGATACAAATTCAACTAGAAAAACCATAAATATTTAATTATATGGTTCTTAATATTTTCATCTTGCATGTCGTAAAAATTTAACAAAAACAGATAAACTGGAGAAACTGTACCTCTTAAACAGATAAATAAACAATCTAAATGTTGTCTACAACAATTGTTAATTGATCGTAAAATTACAAATTTTTGTGGTTTAATGATTAGATTTCAGAGAAGATACCTATCACAAAATTAAGAACTTTGAAATTTGGTTGAGATATACAGAAAATACATACAGAGATGTTTCTGTCAGTGATGCTGTAATCTGCCCGTCATCGTGCTCGTACACACTCTATCCAAATCATTAAAGTAGAAGTGGCAAAGGCAGCCAACTGCAGGAGGCCACAAGTGAAACAATTTCGCGATTCAAGAATCAAATTCCCATTATTTGAACGTATTCAACACACAGGAATCGTATGCCATTCTTCAGGAAAAACTGCGTACCTACTTCCTTTAAATATATTGAACCGAGTGTTTTACACACACGAGCATTAAATATATGTTACTCTGAAGGAAATAAAAGGGCGTTTGGTTTAGTAATTTGCGTTTTTTATTACTCATCCTATAATACCCGAACACACTGTTCATTGGAATACAAATCAGCCAAAGTAACTGGGTGACCAATTGCTCAAAATTATTGGTTCTTGTCTCAAAATATTCATGATTCTACTCAATTAAGTCAATGCAATAAATTACCGTAATTATTACCAATTACACATACATAATGGTTTTTCAAAAATTAGAAGCGGTTTAGTTTAGATCTCGTATAGTGATAACACTAACTATGATGATAACGATGTCAAGCTGCAATCTGGGAAAATTTTTAATGTTTATAAAGGAAATTAGAACTTTGTGTGAAAGTTTATTCAAAATTAGAATTATACAATTTTTATATAACATCAAATAATCCAATGGCATAAGTATTTGTGTAATTAGATTGTGTGTATTATATTGTACATATAAAAAATAAAAGTATATTTAGAAAAGTGTAAATTGAGTATTTTTTATGAGTAAGATTTATCAATATAATTTCGTGAAGAAAATAACAAATTTTAACATAATGTATGCAACGAATGTAATTTGAATGCTATTTCGATTAAATTTTGTGGTGCAGAATCTTGATAGCACACATATAATTCCTTTGGATGAGGAGTTGTATATAGTCGCCCGACAACCCAGTAAGTAGTATTATCCCATTCAAATAATACGCCATGTTCTTTAACGGCGATTAAACTCTTATTAATCACAGTTTTATCCATATCTGAATTCAACATTTTCTTAAATCTCACTGTGTTATGCAGGAGTCGATGTATGATATGAACACATCTATTAAAGTTAACTATAACTTTATGATTCTTTTCCGAACTTTCTAATGGCTTCGATGACAACAGGATACCCTCAGCCATATCCAAATGCATGTAGTGATAAAGATAATTCTTATCACCTGTTGTCAATATTTTTGGTGTCAAGTATTCGGCCTGATTTAGTAGATTTTCTCGTATATTAGATACATCCATACTTAACATCCGACAGTCGTTCTGTAATATAATATATATTTTATATAAGATATTATCTCCGTGAAATAAACGTTATTTAGAATAATTGATGCGCCATTTACCTTGTACATATCAATATCGGAATCACTGTCATCAGAATACTTCGATCCGCCCGAAATTTTTTCCCTTGTTGCTCGTCTTCCTAATATAGGCACAGCTTCGTCGCTAATTTCACTGACACCACCTGTTCCTTGACTCAACGAATCTTCCGAAGTGTGCAAAGAATATACTGTAACGAATTTCAGAACATTATTATTAGCAATGAAATATAATTTTGCAACTAACGATTCTACGTACCAGATCCCAACACCATTGGACTTTCCTCCGTGCTGCGTTTTTTCAAAATAGACGGTATCTCTTGGGCTTTTTTATTAGTAGTTAAAGCGAGGGGCGATTTTGCAGGTGAACTTTGTACATCCGTTGACTTTATAAGACCTAAAAAGTTTTCTGTGATGCTCGATGATGGTTTTGTAGATACATGGTCCTCGTTGGGTATTACTTCGGGTCTCGTGTTAGATGCAATCCATTTGGCTGCCAATGTTGTCACTCCTATCTTTTGTATATGTTTTAAAGTTTCTTGCGCTTCCTCCACATAAAATACATCCGGGCCGTTGGTTTCGGTACATCTAAATTTATAGAACTATAAATAATTCAATAAGATCAGAATGATGAATTTCAATTAAATAACAATATCATTACTTGGCTGTACATCCACCAGATTCCAAGAGAACTGCTAATAAGTCGTATCCATATCCGACAACGAGCAAAAACCACTTTCCATTAGGAACAAGTGGTTGGATACTTCTACCGTTATCCAAACTTCCACAATTACACGACGAAGGATAAACTTTTTTCCAAATAACAAGATTATTTACAGGTTCGTTTGTCACTAAGTTTAAGAGACAGTTGTGCCGAAGGTAAGAGTCAACCTCGATCAAATCGCTGTGCATTAAGTGAGAACCAAGAAGGTATTCTCTATGATATATACAACTGCCTAAAATCGTGTATAGCCTTTGGCAGTCCATAGGATCTTCGTTCTGAGAGAAGATAATCTACATTATTTGTTTGCTATTTTTATTTTCCAACACGTACGTACCCAATCCCTATAATCCATAGCTTCCATTTCACTTAAAGCAGCATCAATTTGAATTTGTGCATCTCTTGATAACTCTATAGAATTTGCTACCGAGAAAGTGCTCCTAAATTTGTAACTTTCCATATTTTCGATATTACTATGAATTTTCATAGTACAGTCGGGCAACCCTACGTTATTTGCGTAATTTTTTAAATCTAATAATTGTTCGAGGAACAAGGTAAAAAAATGATCTAAAGAGGAATGATTTTCAACGGGCGTAAAACATTTCGTTAACGATTGATGTACGAATTCTAAGGTTCTGACTATATCCAGCGATAAATTTACAGCTTCCTCAAGACTGCAACTACAAATATTAGATCTCAGCAAGTGAATAGTTTATTACTACGTAATAAATAACAAAAAACATTTACCATTTTTTTGGTAGTGCCATTAAAAGTAATTCTTCGTTTCGGGGCACGTATACAACGTGAACTTCTTCTTTCGCTACCTGTATAGTAGTACTACAAAAGTTATATTATAAAGGGGATTTTACACATATTATACAAATTTTGTCAACTATACGTACGATTAATGAATTAATACCTGGTAGGCTGTAATCCTGTTATCCCTGGTAACAAGTGATTAAGAGTTATAAAAGCTCCTCTCGTTGTGCATAAAATAGATTGAGCATTTTTATTATCTGAACGGGGAAATGTATAAAGAACACCATGCAATTCTGGTCCCATTTCAGAAATTTCTGTGGTTTGTAGATACAAGACACCGAGCGGATAGTTTATTATAGATTGCATCAAGTCTTTACTTTCTTCTCTGTTCATTAGTCTTTGTACCAATAGGGATTGCTTACGATACAAAATAATAAATTATCTTTCGTATACACAAGTATACAAAAATAAAATATTATAATTACCTTAGGACTGTTCGATTCGGGCAATTTTTCTGTTACATCGATGCCTGCAACTCTTTGCAATTCTAATGTTACCTGAACAGAATACAAAAGTTGTAGCGCATACATTCTTATTTTTTATTGTTATAATCTACATCCTTACATTTGTGGCAACAGTTACTTCAGATAATACGTGATCCAAATTTTGATATGTGACATTAGTCGAATTTACGCTTCTCAACCAGTCGCCAATTTTAATATTCTTATTTTTCATTGCTTCTCCATCTGGTATAAATCCAGCCACCATTACTCTTGTTTTGTCCGAGAATACACCCGGAGTAATTCCAAAATATGCCTCGCATAATGTTGCACGTCGTCCTAATTTATGTCTTCTATCCGGATCAACCCATAGTGCTACTTCTCGAATTTCTCCAGCCTAAAACATTTAAATGCTTTCATGTAAAATGAATACTGTTTCAAATAGTACTTACACAACAACAAAAGCATATTCACTTGAAAATCCCTGAATGTAACTTCCTTCGTTGTGCTTCCTTCTTTTCCAGGACTCATTACGTTATTGGATGTAGCACTAGAATAATTTTTCTTATTTCTTGTACTCCATCTTTTGCTTTCTTTACGCCTTATGAGTCTCATAAGTTTTCCAGCTCTTGTACTACGACGTCTTGTCAGCTCCGATTGAGAATCATGTTCCGATTCATTGTACAAAGATTGACCATCAGCTATACTTTCTGCAGCAGATTCTATGTAAAATAATTCTCCAGTAGAATTGATTTCTGATTCCCATTCTGCAGCAGAACTGTGTACGCGAAACACATTAAAATCTTATTACAAAAAGATATTTTATCATGAACCGATGTAAAATTACTGAACAGTTTTTCTGTACCTATCTGTGTCTGAATAATATGATCCAGTACAGGATCCACTATCACTTGCCCACCAGTCATGTTCATTATCATCTACTGTACCCTCTGTGGTACAAATTTCCTCATTATATTTACATTGTGACTTTGTGGATATGTTTTTAATGCTTGTGTCATCCATACTGTGTGTAATATGATTTTCAATATTTAATAATACAATACACTCATCAAGGTATATCTAAACGACTTTCGAATTGTTCTTGCGTTTATTCTACATATTCGAAACATTTATTTCGTTTTATCCTGTTAAGGACAGGTTGGGTCAAAAGATTGTTATGTATCTGAAGACTTGAGAGCGTTGAGTAGGAAGGATGGGGAGTGGGGATTGAAATTACCTTTCACCTTGCGTACGTATATGCATATGTATGGCACATATCACGTACAATCACCCTAGTAAATGCATGTAAGTAAATCAAGGCATAAAACACTCCAAAATATGGGTGCTTACTTAAATGACGAATACGATCTTATTTGAATTAAAATGCATAGCTTTATAACATACAGTAATATTCAAATACAATAAAAAAGAATAATTTCCACTGGAGAATCTCCTAGATCGTTTTATTCAGATTTACAACCGTCTACGCCAAATCTATTTAGTTTAAGCTCACGAACCGTGTAAAAAAGACAACGAAGCATCTCTTTATTTGAAGTATGCTTGCCGAGAGAGTATGAAAAGAAATCTCACTGTGAACACCTGTTGTTGAAATGTAAGTGATTGACTACGTTTCAACACATTCAAAAAATAAATACAAAGCTTTATTTGTTCTATTAGCATAATATTGTTATCGGATGGATTGCTTAAGCCTAGAAGGAACGGATTTCATTTCACTAGGTTCTTTCTTTTTATGCGGATCTGCTTGGAAACATTTCCACAAGCGTAACGTTTCATCGGCTCCTGCGCTAAGGACCGTGGTACCATCAGGAGACATAGCCAAATGCAAGACACGACTAGAATGTCCTGTAAGCTCTGCGACCTTCGTCATCCCTGGATACTTCCAAATGATTAATTGATTTTGAGCATATCCATGACCGGAAACGATTTCCTTGTACGTTGTCGACCATAACAGAGAACACACTTGCGATTTAGTGTCTACTGTATTCAAGCACGCGCCTGTTATAAAAATGATATATGTTTAAATCGACTCGCAATAATTTATTGTACAGATGTTACTTCATTGCAATTACCTGTATTACAATTCCAGAATCGAATTGTTCTATCAGCTGTACCACCCCCGCTTGCAAGAATATTATTTTGCCATGGACACCATGCTAGTGCTTTTACAGCTGCTTGGTGTTGATTCAACGAGTAAAGGGGTTGCGTGTGCGTATGACTTTGTCCAGTAATTGACGGCCATAATTGAAGCATGTTATCGTTACCGCCGCTTGCTAAATACTTACCATCAGGTGACCATTTCAAACCGCATACTTCCTGAGCATGAGCGTTTATAGTCGATATTAAATGGTCCCTTTGTCTAACATCGTGGTGGACTATTTGTCCTGCTCTAAAAATCAGAATACAGGCAACCACAATTAATTTAAAAAATCGTGTTATTTTATATCTATATATAACTTAACTGTACCGTAAGATGATCTTTACCTGCACCCACTCGTCAAAATATGTGAATTCCATGAAAGGGAACCTACTCTAGCTGCATGACCATTCATTACGCGTACTCTTTTTGTTTGACTGCAGTCCCACAAGTCCGTATTTCCTGCTGTTGTACCTACAGCTAAATAGGGCCCTTCTTGAATCCATGCAACGGAACAGATATAGTCGTTGCCCTCTAATTCAAATAATTGTTCTATGGTTCCGGTTGCAGCATTCCATAAATATACATTAGCACCTAATGCCACAGCTAAAATATTACTTTGTGACCAATCGATCAGATTCAAATCTAAAACACAAGTAAAGTAATTGCTAATAGCTTTGCCCAAAAATTGATTCTAAAAAAGAAAAAGTATAAAAAAGTACATACAATAATCGTCAACGATTTCTGGTGCATCCAATATTCTATCAGGAGTTTGTGGAATATATCTAGTAGATGCTTTAACGCTAGCTGGTGTCTTACTCTGACTATATACAACCCGTAATGGATTCTGATATCCTTCCGGTGGAGCAGGAGCTTTGTTTTGATAAGACAAAACTCTCATATTATTAATATCGCCACCATGTATATTCTCACTCATAAGACGCTGCATTTCTCTCTTGGAAGGACTTACATTGTCCTGTTTGTCCTCGTCTCTCTCTGCAGCCACTTGTTGTTGTATCTATAATTTATAATTTTTCTGATTTTATGTTCGCATAAGAGTTTTTATAATTACAGAAATAAATTATACGTTAAAGGACACAAACCTTATAATGTCCAAGATCAAAATTGGTGGTTGATCTTGAAGGAATAAATCTATCGCCGCCACTGGGTGTTTTAGCAGGTGTAGTTCGATCTAATAAAAAAATAATTTTTATTCTCTTTTATACCAAAGTGATTATTTACACGAATAATACATAAATTATAGAAAAAAATATATCATACTTGGTGATTTTTTGGAACCTTTGGAAGGAGTTTTCTTGGTCCGACTATCATTCTTTTTTGTTGGTGTTTTTCCTGTGGCATTACTCATAAACGATCCGTTTGTAAGTTTCCGGGAGGAATTGACACTGAGATTGACACTGTATAAATAAAGACATAATATTACTTAAATATATACACGAATATTGTAACGATGGATGAAATAATATTAGTTGAATTATTTATTAAAATACCTTGAATTCGATGTTTCTAAGCATTTCTTCTGCCAGCGAGGAAGTGGTCCTTTAATATTCTCGTCCATTCGAGTCAAACTGTTTATTTCTTTCATGTACTTTAAATGCGACATTTTCAAGATGTATGATATTCGGAAGTTAAATTAAATAGTGCTTTACACCGAAATATATAACACGGGATCGTGAAACAGAAATGAAGCGAAAACTTTTCACTCTGAACGATTCGTGTATCAATATTTTAATTTGCTTAAAAGGTACATTAATTTTTAAAGGTCAAAGGTTTATCATTGACATATAGTAAATTTTTAAAATATTATACTTCTTCACTGAGAATATCAAAATGTTTTCTCGACACTGTTTGAACGGACCGAACACTCGCTGCACTCATCGACTCGACATTTAAAAAGTCCGTTGAAGTTGAAATTCAAAAGCTTCACATTGTATTAGTTAATATCCCTCCAGATGTCGTTGTACGAATAAAGGCGAGTTCTCAAACTTACAATGAAATTTCCGTGAGTTTTGAATTACATGCACATACGTATATACATAAGTAATTTACATACTTATCTCTACTTTAATGTTTTATAAGACATGTAATAAAATGTTATACAGGTCATAATGTTATTTACAATGAAAAACGAAGATAGAGAAATTTAACATACTTTGTGTCTCTGTATATTCAAACAGTTACAGTAACAGTCAAAATTTTATATACAACTTATACTACGTATCGTATTCGAAATTATATTTTGTACATTTTGAGTAATGGTCTTATAACTTGAACTTCTCGTATCTGAGAATCATATTTAACCTATTACTTTTTTATGCTCATATTATAATGCTTACTCTATAAGAAATACTGTAAAATACAGTAGTCATCGCGGCACTAAAAATATATCAAAGGCCAAAAATTACATCATATTTACTTATTACTAAGTCGATTCTATTTCGCTGTACAATGCATTCTTTAGTCTTTCTTCAAATAAATTATTTTGTTGTTGATGAGCTCTTAAACGTTCTTCTACCTTTCTCGAAACGCCAAACACCTCCATTACTCGGCTCCGACTATATTCACAGAACTCTGCTAATGGATCGAGTTCGGAATCATTGTTTTCATCCCTACATACTCTTCGCTTTTTTGTAATTGGTTCGCTCAAATCACTCTTTCTTTTATTCTTTACATTATTTTTTTGCACGTTCAATTCCCGCGTTGCGACTTTGTATTTATTCAATATATTCGATTTAAACCACCACGGTAAAGTTCGGAAATACTTTATGTGATTCTTATTATAGACTACTTTCAAATCTCTGTCGATAAGATTCACTTTCCTCTTAACAATATGTAACAGAATATCGATAAAGTTTGACACAGTTAGCATACCAGATGTAAAGAATAAATTGCTGAATAAATCGCATGACACTTCATTGCTATCAGCATTGAATAGAGCTTTTTGATAGTAACTTATTACATTCTGATGAAACGTGCTGTTATCATCCAATGGCCAACTGTACCTAAAATACATAAATCAGTTTTATTAAATTGATTAATACGTCAGTGGAAAAAAGAATTACGCTAAAACTTGCTTCCACTGAGGCAGTTTAAAAGAATCCAACACTTCTTCTATCCTTGCTTTATAATCCTCCTTTTTCCACGAGTCGTCAAAGTATTCGTAGCTACATGGCATCATATGCTCATTTTTAACAAATTTGTCAAATTCCGGAGCAAATTTTGTGTACATAAATGATTCCGGATCTAATATTATATCCATTAGATGAGTGACCGCTTCATTGTATAGATCAATGATGAATCTGGGCTCCTCCAGTGCGTATAATAATTTTTCATTGTAGGACGAGTCATCTTGTATCCTGTAAAAAGACAGTATTAGAAATGATAATAAATTGCAACAATCACAGAGAAGCATTTCCTTAGTTACCTCAGCCATAATTCGTCTGTTAAACAAACATGACAAATATTTTCCAAGTAATCCATCTCTAATGGATTCTTAGGAGAGTTATTCATGGACAACCAAAATATTGCAGTTTGCGTTATATTCAACACTGTTTCCTCATTCAAGTTCTTTTCATACATGATAGTGTAAATTGATAAATATCCAACGTCTAATAGTTTTTCTAAGGTAGAAACAACTTCCGTATCTTGCGTATCAAAATTGTCGTCACCGAAAACGAGGACTACTAAAGGAATGGGCATAAGTCTATCTCTTGATAATATAGTTCTTGTTAAACGTTTTATAATAACGTTTGCATTCTCGGAGGTGTTTGCTATGAAAAGGAGAGCATCCGAACCCACTAAATTGTGATCACTGATCAGACCTTCAAAATTTCGAATACAGATATGCAAAGTTTTAAGTGGGCTTGCTCGATATATCTTCATAATCGGATTCGCGGTATAATCATCGGGACAGAGATATTGATTCATTATTTTCTTATGATGCCATAGAACAGGTTTGTTGAGCAAGTCTGGCCAAGAAATAACTAACTTCCAATAATGATTCGAAAGCATATTTATGCCCGAAGACTTCAAGTTTTCCTGAATTCCCATAAAGATTATAACTTCGATTCTGTACAAAGAATCAACATAAGATTTAATAATTTTTGGCTCTTCTCGCCTTCTACACATATTTTCAATAACTAAATCCTGGTTTTTCGAATACAATAATTTTGCGCATTCTTCACTGGAATACTTTTGCAACCATACCGGTGTATTATCCAACGATTTCCGTTGTTCTCGTTGTTGTCTTCTTTTCAAAGTATTAAACTTCCATATATTGAAATATTTTGTGACTGTCCTTTTCTTCATTTTCGTCGACAATGCATGCAATTTTTCCGAATTAATAATTTCTTCTTGTAGAACATTGTCACATATCTCGTGAGTAATTTCAGTTAGGATTTCATTCTCAATGTCGTCTCTTAATTTATTGCAAATATTCATTTTATCAAATTCTTCGTCCACGATAGTAGAACAAGAACTTTTAATAACTTCGGTCTGGAGCTCGCTTAAAACTTTTTCTGCTAGTACATCGACTTGCTGCATCCTCTTTACAGAAACCTTATCCGCTACTTTTGTATTCTCAATTTTCGCAATTTCTTCTAATTGATTCGGACGAGTAAAGAAGCTTGGAGATTCTTTTAATTTATTATTACTTTCAGTTATTGCGGCGCTTGATAATTTTGGTGCAGTTTGTACATTGGAGAATGTATTCGAAAATATAGAGGAAGACGTTACATTTTTCATGAATACATTTCCCTGTGTGGTACCCGAAAATACATTCTGGTTTGTAGATGTTGTAAATGGTACAGCACTACTACTATATGGTGGTGGTTCCAATGATTTTGAGAATACATTAGAAGATTTTGTAATCGTTGTTGTAGCGTTGAATGTGTTACCAAAAATAGAAGATTCATTGGTTTTATTTGCTTCTGACACAGTATTGTCTCGTTTCGGTAGTATACCAAATATGTTTGTACTTCTTTGTTTTTCTTGAGCTTCCGTGACTGGTACTTGAGACTTGGCGATCGAGAATATGTTTTCACTAATCTTCTGAGGTTGAATAATATTTGCATTGAAATTAGTTGCATTGATCGTAGTAAATATATTTCGATACTCAGCACCGTAGCCTGTACTCTCGGGTTTATTTTCATCTTTCTCAGAAACCAAGACAGATTTTTTAATCTCCACTGTATCTTCGTCTATGTACTCGTACGGATCTTTTGGAGTACAAATATCATTTTTATTCTGATCCTCTGCATTGACAGAATCTGACCATAAGTAACCATGCGTGTCGAAGCTATTGTGCGGCTTATGACACTTGTAACTTTTCCCCGGCATCTTTCCACCTGCTATACATTCTCCAATAGATAAATGCTTCATGACTCTCTTAGATTCTATTACATTACAAGCTCTATTCTGTTTTATATTTAATACAGGCATAGAGAAGTTTTGTCGATTTAATAATACATGATATTCATCCTTTGCAACATTTAATCCTACTTGTTCGCAGAAGTAAACAGCTTCGGTTTCATCTTCGAAACCTAAAATGTCTATTAATTCGTACAATGGATACGCTGTTGACGCAGTTCTGCAATAAGCTTTAACCATCACCGATAATGCCCTTAATCTTACTTGATTAAAGTACCTAAGCAAGATGCAGGCATTTAAATACGTGGTTTTACAAACGAGTTTAAAGAATTTATAATAATTATTCGACTCCAAGGCCGAGTACACCTCTTGTGCAAATTGAACTTCTGGCGATCTTTGCACACTCTTTGGCAGTCTTTGCAGGTCCCACATGAAATTGCTGTTGTTTAAATTCAGTAGAATAATGTACGCCCGAAATTCTGGTTCATTCTGACAATTTATTCCTTTTACTCTTAGATCATGATACATGTACTTCAATGTTTGCAAACATTTCGTTAGATTATCCGAGTTGATCTTTTTGTCAAAGATCGATGGTTCTTCGGCGCAAAGCCTTTCAGAACAGACAATATGAAATCTAGCGCATTGTTCGACCAATTCGACGCTATCCGGGCAACATAATTCTTGCTGCGTTATATCTTTTCGAATTCCCCTTGTTCTATCCCACAAGAAATGATACCATTCTCCCAAATTTGTCCCTTCTTGATCGCAAAGATTCGCTATTTCGTGAAGCAAATAACTCATAGTCATTTTTAAAGACTTCACAGGTCTCAAATCGTGCGCCATCGGTTCCTCTTGATCTGCCGAAGACCTAGAATACTGTTTTACAGCAGTCGCGTGATTAATTTTGTACTCGTTACCTTCGAGTTGCTCGTAGAACGCTAATTGTCTTTTCGACTCTCGCATTAGACGCTCTTTTTCAGGACACATATCAGGGCATATTCCAACCATTGCTTTAGCAGCAGCCAGCGTGTGCGATTTAGTTTGCTTCATTCTTATAAGTCGATCTCTTGCTTCTAGTACTTTGTATTTGTCTTCTGAATTATGTGCTGGTTGACGAATTATCTTTTGCAGTTCTTCGATACTAGCATTGGGTAACAAATCCGATATTTGACTGTCTACTTTATGTTTCTCAGATTTAGCAGCTGCTTTCTCTTTGGCCCTGGCACTTGTCTTTAATGCACCCTTGGTCTCTCGTGTTTCCTTTTTCTTAAGCGAAATGTAATTATAATAATCAGCATTATCCCTATCATGTACGTTGTATGCTAGATTCTTCATAGCATCTAATTCCATTTGGAGGTCATCGTCATTTAAGAAATTCGTCACAATATTCTTCTGTAAGTCTTTCCGTTTTGTCGGGGATTTTGGTAACGCGGTCAATTTGCTCCATTCTACGTTAAATTTTTCCCCGTAATACTCGCCGCTTTGCTCGTATGCTATAGTCGCTTCTTCTTTAGTAGCATAGGTAACAGTAATTATTTGTTTCTTGGGACGAATAGTAATTCTTAAAAGATTCCCAAACATCATAAAGTATTCCTTTGCTGTAACCTTTGTGAGTAGAGACTGAGGTACATTGGTGCATGTTATTGAATTTTCTGGATTAATTTTAGCAGACTGCGATCTAGAATTCTTTTTTAACTGTACGAATATTGCAGTATCTTTAAGAGCTTGGGCGAAAACATTAACTGCTGGTTTGAAAGTGTGCCTTGATATTTTAGGTTTGTATTGTTTCTCAGGTGTTCTCAATTGATGAGTGGCCCTCCCTCGAAGATTCGGCTGCGACACTGACGTCGGTATAGCAAAAGTAAAAATATTTTTCCTGATAACCGACGTATCCAACGCTTCTGGATTTACCTCGGAATTAATAGCATTAGGAGGACCAAGTACGTTAGGTGCGGAGAATACAAATGCTTTTGGAGATGTACCTTCTGCTGACATTACGTTATCTTGTGTATTTTCTCCGCGTTCCATTTTATCACTGTTTATTACAACTTCATTTAAGCATTAACTAAAACGTCATTCGATTAGATGACACCTACTTTTACCTCTTCGCTGTTTCAAACATGTGGATGGTTAGGTTTGTATATTTCCCTTTTATGTACCACGAACCCTCTTATGTGCATAGATGGTAAAATCGGTTATGCATTTCTTTCCGGTGATCGAAAAGACATAAACGTATACGATCTGTTTAGCTCCACCTTGTATCTTGATGATCTATGGCAGGTAATCATTTTGAAGAAAACAATTGCTTGTAATTCTTTAGTATTGATAAGGTCTATAGAATTTACCTGATTCAGTTTTAACAATCTTTTTTGTCGATATTCATTTTGAAAATCTTCGTTCAGTAGATAAAATTGGATTATTTCAAATTGACGCTTCAAAACCCGCCATATTACAGGATTGCCATCTAGTGGTAAGCGTGTCATATGTATGTACCATGTACTTACATATCGGATCCAATCAGATCCATGATATGTACCGATTATTATTTGGGAACACAATTCAAGTAAACTCCATTTAAATTTCAAATTCAAATCATATCCTTTTTCAACTCAAACATTTTGTTTTCCTTAACCGGGTCAAGAATAATGTACATCATATGTATAATTAAAGTCATTAAACATTTGCTAATAGCAAATATTCGGGGATATGATTTGACAATATAAAACAATTTAAAGGGAAATTTATAAAAATGGTTTAATAAGAATGAATATCGATAATATACACGAGTTCTATAATTTTGTATGACAAGATTTTGGATGAAATTTTCAAGTTTCAGTAATATATAAAATAAGTTCACGAAAATAGAAAACGATACAAATAACGAAAGTCTTCGTTTAAGCATGTGTCACTCGTATGTATAATACTACATAGATACTAAATACTAATACTTGACACATGACTATGACTTATCGAAGGTACAAAGCATTATTATAGTGGCATTTTTTATTTTATTAGTAAGTATTATTAAACTCTTTACATATTTTTGTCATTATAATGAATAACTGGTAGAACTTTTTTAACTTACACATCCACTCATTCAAACATGCGTGACAGACCATTCCGTAACTATGTACTCAGTACTCACAACTATGTCACATGATACTCGACAACTTATAAGATTAATGCCATCACTTAGCAACTTACAAAATCTATTCCTTAACATTTCTTCGAGTTAAACAAAATCCTAGGGAGAGTGAGAGACCATTATTTCGTTAAATCCCGATTGAATGAAACTATATTTATGTATTGCAACCATAAACATAGACGTTAAAATATCTCTATTTTACTGTGCATTAATTAGAAAGCAGATTGCAGTGTTCACATATTTTATTACATAATTTAGAACCAAATCAGACGTTGTCTATTTGTGTATTAACATTAGAGTTTCGAATGTAAATTTCTTTTCTCCTAAGTAAAATACAGTACACGATATTATTCACAACTCGTATAAGTGTACTTTTGGTTTCGCATGTCGTTCGCCAATTATTTTTCTTAATTTGATACACTAATTTAAAAAAGAAATTCACTTCCTCTGTTTGCTTCTTTCAGAAAATACATTCCAGTCAGCGAATATTCGGATATACAACTATAAAAGAAAATAAAAGGAGAGAGAGAGAGAAAGAGAGAGAGAGAGAGAGAGAGAGAGAGAGAGAGAGAGAGAGAAAGAAGAAAACACGTATCGTATTTGTTTTTTTCAGGGACCATAACTGTTACAACGAAAATAAAATAATAAAGTCATAATGATTACTTAGTTACAAATCAATATTTTTCATTACCGATATTCATTATCAATGAGGAAAATTTTTGAAGATCAATTTTAAATTTTCCGTATTTTAATCTATGATTTCATTTATAATTGCGAGTAGTAAAACTTTTGATTCAAATTTTTAACAACAAATATCCAACTTGAACAAAAGTTGTCGAATACTTTGATAACAATAAGCAACCAAAGTAACTAAATAAATGTCCCTCATATTGATAACTATTAAAAACGACTGAAATAGAATTTCTCTCATGAGTAACGATATCGGCAACGATAAAATTTTGTCTTTACATTTTGTTGTTAATATCTTTACAACCAATATATTATAACAATAAACAAGTCTCTGTTACTGATTTTTCCCATAAAAGTTTTTGGTCCCTGTATTTTTTCTGTTTTTCTGTGTCTTAGCTGTACTTATTTACGTCCAAAATTACTTATACCGTAAAAACCTCTTGCTAAATTTAGGACTCTCTTATAACAAACGAACAGCTTATAAAAACATTTAGTGGCAGATTTATTTTAGATACGATTATTACTTCGATATCTTACGATTCTTTAAGCACTTTCCTCATTACATGTACTCTTATCACATACAACTATGTATGACTAAATACATTTTGTAACTTATTACATCTATCCATACAAATAATATTTTTTCCTCTTTCTCTTGTTTAGCGGTAAAAGTTTTACAAAGTGTGTGTGTGTCTGTGTGAATACCACGAATCCTGTGAAAAAAATTACCGTCAAATTCTTCCTTCCCTTTTGCAATACCGGTTGCAAATAAATACAGCCTACCGATGCAGAGAACAACGAAATTAAAAGTGACATTGATTCTTTTTCCTTCGTTCTACTTCTTTCGGTTTTCTTCTGTCTTGCAGTCATAGCGGCCTAGCTTGAGACCCGAGTCGCATAGTATCAAATGTAATGGCTTCAAGGTTCCAAGCATAGCTACATTCATTGATTCATTTCTCTTTTTTTCTTGTATGATACAAATCGTTGATGTTCTCATAAAAATGCATGTAACGGTACGCACATCTGTTACGTTCCTGTGGCGACATTGATTTTTATTNGAGAGAGAGAGAGAGAGAGAGAGAGAAAGAAGAAAACACGTATCGTATTTGTTTTTTTCAGGGACCATAACTGTTACAACGAAAATAAAATAATAAAGTCATAATGATTACTTAGTTACAAATCAATATTTTTCATTACCGATATTCATTATCAATGAGGAAAATTTTTGAAGATCAATTTTAAATTTTCCGTATTTTAATCTATGATTTCATTTATAATTGCGAGTAGTAAAACTTTTGATTCAAATTTTTAACAACAAATATCCAACTTGAACAAAAGTTGTCGAATACTTTGATAACAATAAGCAACCAAAGTAACTAAATAAATGTCCCTCATATTGATAACTATTAAAAACGACTGAAATAGAATTTCTCTCATGAGTAACGATATCGGCAACGATAAAATTTTGTCTTTACATTTTGTTGTTAATATCTTTACAACCAATATATTATAACAATAAACAAGTCTCTGTTACTGATTTTTCCCATAAAAGTTTTTGGTCCCTGTATTTTTTCTGTTTTTCTGTGTCTTAGCTGTACTTATTTACGTCCAAAATTACTTATACCGTAAAAACCTCTTGCTAAATTTAGGACTCTCTTATAACAAACGAACAGCTTATAAAAACATTTAGTGGCAGATTTATTTTAGATACGATTATTACTTCGATATCTTACGATTCTTTAAGCACTTTCCTCATTACATGTACTCTTATCACATACAACTATGTATGACTAAATACATTTTGTAACTTATTACATCTATCCATACAAATAATATTTTTTCCTCTTTCTCTTGTTTAGCGGTAAAAGTTTTACAAAGTGTGTGTGTGTCTGTGTGAATACCACGAATCCTGTGAAAAAAATTACCGTCAAATTCTTCCTTCCCTTTTGCAATACCGGTTGCAAATAAATACAGCCTACCGATGCAGAGAACAACGAAATTAAAAGTGACATTGATTCTTTTTCCTTCGTTCTACTTCTTTCGGTTTTCTTCTGTCTTGCAGTCATAGCGGCCTAGCTTGAGACCCGAGTCGCATAGTATCAAATGTAATGGCTTCAAGGTTCCAAGCATAGCTACATTCATTGATTCATTTCTCTTTTTTTCTTGTATGATACAAATCGTTGATGTTCTCATAAAAATGCATGTAACGGTACGCACATCTGTTACGTTCCTGTGGCGACATTGATTTTTATTCTCACCTTTCGTATCCCGAGAAAAAAAAACAGTGCGACACAAGCGGTATTATTTTTTCCTTTTCTTGCAGCTAATGATCGCCTACCCACCAGCAATGAACTTTGTTGCACAATAGAAGCAAGTTTCAATGTCCCCGCGAATGGTGGAAAACAATTGTTTAATTTACGCCAAGCGTTTTACATCCTCTTCTGCATTGTTGATGTAACACAATCACTCAAAGAGAGTTTTTCCGTTTCCATTCTGTTTTGCTTTAATACAATTTATTTAGTCATGACTACCTTCACAACTTGTTTTTCTTTCTTTCTTTTTTATAGACCATGTACCAATGTTAGACACGTATTAAGTCAAGATTATTTGTGATTTGTATGTCGAAGCACCTGTAGGGTTTATTTTGACGGAGGCAAGCTCGAACGGTCGTAAAATCTGTTTTTCTTTGAATGTTGGGTTTCAAAGAGTACTTAAAAAGTTTAAGAACTTTTTATAAGAAATTGTACGGCTAAAGAAAGACCTAAAGAAGTATCTACAAAAAGGAACGGTCAACAGAATATCGCATCTGAAATCAATTTGAAAATGTTCAAACCTCGAATAACGTTGAACTTTTTGTCTAATATAACACTATACTGCACATTGTAGAAAGGATACAACACTTGTGGAAAATATCTTTTTTTGCTATTTCGTTTTATCTATATTCAGTCGAATGCTTCACAACTGCATTTAGAAAACTGACAGCAGATACACATCTATTCGTGAGAAGCTGATTTGCGTATCAAGAAGAACTAAATCAACGTTTCGAGAAGAAAAGAAATCAAAATTTGTTGTCAATTGTAAGAAATACTAATAGCTACTTCCTCCCCTTATAAAGTAAAATATGCAAAATATCCGTCTTTATGCATGT